ATCTCAAAATTTAAATATCAGAGAAAATTCAGAAATCATTATAGATTTTTGCTTTTTAATTAGCCGTAAAAATAGAAAATAAGAAATTAACTGACGTATATGAATAAACGTCTCCCTTATGACTTGTGAACAAAATAAGAAATTAAACTTTAAACTTTATTAAACTTTAAATAAATAAACTTGAAAAGAAATTAAGTATTTCTTTCGATTTTCTGTTGCTCTCGATGGTTATTATTAAAATAGTTTATTCAAATTATAATTATAATAGTTTATAAAAATAATAAAATTCATTAATAATAAAATTTACAATATAATATATATTAAATTTTATTGCTTTGTGAATATAGACAAAAATTTATTTCATATTTTTAATCCCGCCTTGTTGATGTTTTCACTTTAATCGTATAGTCTTAAGCAACTACCGTATTTTTTATTTTTTAACTTCTGTCAAAAATATAATTTATATTACAATTTTTTCCCTTTGGGTTGATGCATGATTAACGGTAAAGCCGGGTTCCCACATGTCAAATACTACAGAAACATAAACATAAAAAAAACAATACAAGAAACAGGATGGTTATACTTTTTTGTATTTCCAGAGATCTAATTATCTCAATGGACGTTTAGTATTTTTTCAATAATTGGTAAGTCGTACACATTTTATGACTTTGATACGTTTGTGGAATTCGAAAAATTCAAGTTAAATGTAAATTCTGAGATTGTAACATATTACTTGGATTCAATATTGGGATTTAATTCGTCTAATTAAAAAAAAATAATTCCATAGCATTACTTTTTAAGGTTATTTCATTGGCTCCATCGAATCATATCTTAAGCAATAAGAAGAATTGTTTTCTGAAAAAAATAATTCCGCGGGAAGGCTCAGATACTAGAATCCTGAAAGGATAAAATAAATGGAATAGAAGGAAAAAGGACAAATATGTTGGCAGATCTGTCTGTCCAGGAAGTGTTTTTATCTCGAGAGGATTGGTACTATGATGGGCACCCGGAGTGGAAAAGATCCTTCGATGGCACATATCAAATGAGAACCGACAAAGTAGTGCTTTATCCAACAGAGGGAAGGAGTCCTGTATACCTTTTATATTTATAACAAAAAAATAAACATCAATAAATGCCTTAAAAGATCCTTTTAATTTTTTATTAAAATTTTCAAATAATTTTGTATTAAAATTTTCACACCCCCATACCAGACTGAAACGACTAGAAACCGCCAGACGTTTTCGACTACTGCAGCACTTACTAGACAAACGCTCTAAGCTTTCAATCAACGACAAACGACTCATATACATGACAATAATAAGATCTATTTGGACTTACGGAATTGAGCTTTGGGGCTCCACTAAACCATCGAATTCCTCTCGTATCCAATCCTTACAATCCTAAATCCTCCGTAAAATCCTCAACGCTCCTTACTTTGTCACAGATAAAATCATCCATAAAGACCTTAATCTTCCATGTTTCCGATTTGGCCCAATCCAGATACATATCCTTCCATAACAAACTGCAGAACCATCCGAATACTCTCGTTTCAAACCTTGTTTCCTCCTCTATCCCTGATAACCCTCCGAGGCGTCTGAAAAGAAGATGGCCTCGGGACCTTCTAATATAGAACTTTAATTTGAGTTCTACCAATGGGTAGTTTCTCTTCATGTTACCAATGTCACATTTACTGTATTTTTCATGTAATACACTTGCAAATTTCATTTAAATTAAAAGAATTTATTTTTGTTTCCTTTGTCGATTATATTTATCAATAAAGTAGCAATTGATTTATTTATCTTTTGGTACGTTGATACAACCTTCTAATATAGAACTTTAATTTGAGTTCTACAAATGGGTAGTTTCTCTTCATGTTGTACATGTCATGTTACCAATATCACATTTACTTATTGTATTTTCTATGTAATACAGTTGTAAATTTCATTAAAATAAACAAAAATAAAAAAAATTCACAATTTGCTTGTTGGTTTCAATGACAATGTGAGATGTAAATATGGAAACGTGAGAATAGAGTGGGAAATTTAAAATACAGAATGATAGGGTATGGAGTAGTTCAGTGGGTAAGGCACTGATTTCCTATACTCGAGATTCTTGATGCGATAACAGCTTCGGCTGATAAGCCATGGATCGACTCTTGGGAGACTTGATTTATTATTATTTCATAATGGCATTTAAAGTTCGTCGGGATGGATAATGATTGGCAGAATAAGAGTATATTTTAACGATCTGAAGATAACATTATATGGGTTATTGACGCTTTAAAAGAGTTATGTTTGCAATTATTACAGATTATAGATCTATCCAACAAATATAAATTAACCTACTGAAAAATCGGCTAATCCGTTCTGTCAGCTCTACAATGGCGTAAGGTTTCTAGAAGGGGGAAGGGTAATTTTTTTTCAACTCTAAGATCGGCGATTCCAGGTGACATCTCTTCCAGTGGAGCTGCGTCTTCCAGACAGCTGCGCATCACGACTGGGTTGACACCGAAGGATCAGGGACCCAGATTAAGTCGTTAAAAAATCCTTTACTTACTAAATCGTTACGAGTTATATTTCATCCTAGCCAACTGTGATAAAAGGTTCCTTCAATAAGATAGAGTTTTATGCCATCTTTTATTATACTTTTATGTTATATAAGTATAATAATATATATATATATATATATATATATATATATATATATATATATATATATATATATATTGTGTTTATATAAATACTAAGTAGATGTGTGTAAGACCTTTGATAAGTCTCATTACTAGACAAGAACGTTGAAAGCCTCGTTGCGTGGACCGGAGCGCGGTATTATCACGGTTGGCGAGTTTAATGCCTACAGGGGTTATTACTCATTACTTTGTGCGTGACAGTTACACCAGTTTTCGATGATATCTCTATGATTCCTACCGCTTGTAGCGGTGTATGACAATAATTATTTAGTCATTTTAATAAACGATACAACGGAAAGTTTTTTAAATTCCTGAATTTTTTTTTAACATGAAATTTAGTGTTGTTCCAAGACCGCCTAATTGCTGCAAGACCAAGACCTAGACTGATAAAAAAACAAAAAAACAAAACATTTTTTAATGATGTTATTAAATTTTCTTCAAAACTAAAAAAACACTGCAAATTATATATAAAAAGTAACAACACTTTCCTTATAACATGAGGGAAAAATAAATAAAAGGTGATTCCCAACATTGTCTTAAATAATTTTCTATTTCATCATTACCGGTTTTTCAATCAAAATAAAACACATTGCTTCAGTTGATATAACACCTTCATGATATTAAAAACCAAAACAAAAGGAAATAAGCTTTGCAGTAGAACATATAAAAAATATGTTTAAAAACTAACCAAATGGTCCGATTTCAACGATTATTTTTTTATATTTTAAGAAATTTTGTAAATTTTTAAATGACCAATAACATTCTCAAAAAAAAATTATACTTTTTGAGTTCGTATAGAAACCTAATTTTACGACTCCTCTTCACTTTTTTTCTAGCTTCGTTATCTAAGTATGATATAAAGATAAACTTTAAAGGCATCGAGAAGAAGAATTTAGTCAAGTTTCATTGAAATTGGTACATTCTTTTACACGCTACAGTCTATAGCAATACAGGTTTTTCATTCGCCATCTTGAAAGGAGAGAGTGGAAATTTATTCCAAATTTGAAAACAATTGGTCCAGTAGTCTCGGAGAAAATGCCCGGACGGCGAAAACAAATTATTTTTTTGTTCAATTTTCGAGTTCTACGTGAGAACTCAAACCTCAAATTTCGAGAAGGGTTAGGTTTTAGGACGATCGCAATGGTTCATTATTGTAAATAATAAATCAAAAATTGTCTGAATCGGACCAGTTTTAGCGACGTTACAGTGTATTGAATTTATACACTAATTTTAATAATTGTTCTCTAGCTCGTTTACATTAGTTTAGTTCACCATAGAAATCGTATTCTAATGATTTCTCTGATCGGTGATTAGGAAAATTCGAATATTTTTTATGGACATATATAAAATTGTTTAAAATCGGCAGGAAAGTCATCTGAGTGGACACAACATATTTTTTGTTTGAATAATTGGTGACATTCTATAGATTGTCTTTACAACTCTTTCGTTCCAATGTGGGGCCCTATCTATCACTACTTTGGAGGTGAAGATAGTGGGGCACTATTTTTAATGTGTTGTCAAATTAATTTTATTAATTTGGTTGGACTTTATTAATTATATGTCAATAAAACATCTAAATGCATCTATTATGTAGCGTCGTTCTAAGATCTAAAGTTACATGTTTAATAAGTAGCAATAAATTAATAGGTAACTCTAACACACTTGCAGAATGTTACTCGTATTAAATTCAAAAATATTTTATTTTGTGCCGAGGTTTGGCCTATTTTTCAGACTTTCATCAGGGCTGATAAGAGAGGAGATAACAACTAAAACATTATTAATTCAACTATTGTAAAATACATAGGGACAAATTATATGTGATCTGTTAATAAATAAATTTTAAGAAGTCAATAATTAATTAAAATATATAAGTATGGTGTGTAATGGTAAGGTAAGAAAATATAAATATAATGTAATATCAAACCAATTATTCAGTAGTTGGATACAGCATAAATTAATGACTTGAAAATGGCTTTGAAAACCGAAACGCTACCATGGTAGCGAAGGAAATAAAAAGTTGGTGAACTATAGACAGCCCAGATTATATTATTTTATTAACTAATAAGAACTTTATCTCAAACAAAAATAAATCCATCTAATCTATTTTTAAAGAGCATTAATTTAATATCATTCGTGTACCCTTCCCTTTACGAAGTTTCACTTATGAAATCTTCCCATTGACGACTTGTTTCCTATAGACTGCCTTTCCTTAGCCCACGTGTAGATCACCCTAGAAGGGCCATCCGAAGTATCTATTATTATCTATGGAGCTAAGTGTGCCGGCGGTGTAGAGGCCGCCTGTATAGATTAGATGTTATCTCCTGTCACGTTCTTAATAGCGAGCACATGGTGGCTGTGTTCATTAGTAGCGGAGGGTACCGGAGTACCAGAGTACCAGTGTACCAGTGTGTACAATACCAGTGTACTGCTTGGGTATCATCCCACACCTGCCCATTACCGCGGTGCCCTACCTCAGCTGATACTAATCATAAACTCGTGTAACACTTCCACAAGCGGGACTTCTATAATTGCCGCCGAATCGTGTTGTTTTTACCTTGGACTACCTAAGGCAGAGGAAGTAGGTATGTTAATGGTTCCATTTTTTTTTTCGGGGGGGGGGAGGTCCTCAACTGGGAATGTAGGAGCTTTGAAATCACATAGAAAGTGAAAAAACAAGTTTATACATAAGAAATGATGCAACTCTGCCACACAAAATGACAGTAAGTATTAGAACTAGCTTTGACGCATTCATGACATATGAAGAACTAGACAAAAACAGAACAAAAAAATATTTATAACAAAAAAAAAATGAGAGAGAGAGAGAATCACTTTATTATCATAAAAGAGTGCTGCCCAATTACATTGGGTTGCTTTAAACACAGCATACTTATTAATCCCTACAGACAATTTTCCAAAACTAATATACAATAATATAGTATTAACAATATGTATGAGCATAGTATACAATTTTTTTTATTATAATTTTTTTTACTATTTCTTTCATTCATTCATTAGCATTATAGATCTCTTTCTGTTCTTTCTCTCACCTTATACATTTTTCTCATTCCCTAGATTTTCTCCTAGGGAAATCTATTTGTTTTGTTTCTCTAGAAGAAAACAAAAAATATGAAGTGTACAACTTGTTTTCATCATCATAACCTTGTTTACATTTATACTCTTAAAATTTTTTTCTTATAGAGTTATATATATTTAATTAATCTATCCTAACGATATTTCAACTAATGTTATCCTATTAATCTTTCAATTTCTTTATTTGTTAACCTTTAGTCCCGTTATCGTTTACCTACAGTTATCAAATATAACCTCCACTAGCATGTTATCCACTGATATCTTATTATTATCTTCTCTTATTCTTATTTTAGCTTTACTATATCAATACTTATTCAATTTTCAATCTCTTTATTCATTAACATTCATTTTCTTTATCTGTTAACCTACAGTTATCAAATATCTTTATTAGTTTGTTATACACTCATTTCTTATCTTTTGTCGCAATCTGTTTACTTTTAACTTTCATACAATATTCTCCTTTTTTTTTTTTTTTTTTTTTTTTTATTCATACTTATTTTCTATTTTTGTTTGTATCTTCTATATATATAATACTTGATGTTTTAACTACATTTTATAAAAGATTAGGCAAGACTAAGTCACTGACGTGTGGGAAGCCAGTGCAGGATGAGAGAGAATATTGGTACCGAAAACGTTCAGGACTTAAGTGGAGAATCTGGCTATAGGCAGAACCCCATTGACATATTTATAAAATATCTCGGTGCCAATCTCGTTACAACCTTCGAGGAGGATTTATGGATGATGAGAGCTGAATCGTGTTACGTTTAGTATGGTTAATAAGGTTCTGATGGAAGTTGAGAATCTGAATGCCAAGGACATAAGTGATGTTGTGGTAATAATGTAAAATATTGTTTATAACGTAATATAATATATTAACCATTTTACGAAGAACTTTAGGTTTAGCTATTCCATACAATTTAATTCCGAAGATCCAGATGGATTTCAGTATATAATAAAAAATTGTTCTCAATGTCGGAATTTTTCCACTCGTGGTTTACCTTTTAGACATCAAGGAACAATATTGGTTCCGCGTTAGTTTTTTGTTAAATCAATGTAATAAGCATAATCTATATTACAATATCTATGATTTTGATGGAATTTTAATGGATTTTGCTGGTCGGTTTCTAGATCAAGGATTCCTAAATTATGATTAGGAATGGATACTACAACTAAGGTAGCCAAGAATGTTTCTGTTGGTAGGCGAATTCACGTTATATTGTTCCTAAAATATGTGGTAATTTTATTAATGCAAATTGTTGCATTGTGGATAGTTGTAAGTTCTTGATCATGGTAATTATGTGTGTATAACGAGGATAGTTGTTAATGATCCACATATATTGCTCCTCCGTTTTTCAGAATGCTTATAGCTGGTTACATAAGTTGAGCTCCACATAGGCCATACGTAAGTGATTTGAATAGGAATAACAGTTTCATTTGGAGGATAATTTGAAATATTTCTTAAAATATGAGAACATAATTGAGTAAAGTGGTAGGAAAATTGACGTTACATGCTTCAGTATCAACACCATCAAATCAATACCAGTATCAAAAAATATACAATTCAACATGTTTCTTTAAGCTGCGGCAGCCATTTTCAGCAGATTTACCGAAATAATCGTAGCTTGAATCCAATTGGTCGCTGTTGACAAGGAGAAAAGAAAAGAGGAGAAAGATAACTGGATGATAACTAAGTCATTTTGTTGTACTTTTTTTTTTTTTTTTTTTTTGTATTAAAGCGATACAGAGGAAGAAAATTCTGAACGGCAGGGGTTCTTATTAAATTATATCTCGGATGGAATAGTTGCGGCAGTTTTTACTTCCTTCCAAGGCAGTCTCTTTCTCTACACTCGATCATGCGTTACATTCTCCGTACCTCCTTTAGCTTCCTCTGTACTTAATTCCATTCGAGACAGTTGATAAAATTCTTCTATACAACTGGCTAGATCTATAATAATATACTATTTTAGTGTGTGCCGACGTTTGATCTTAGTTTTATGTTATGAATTGGTTAAGAAAGTTTTTTTTTTTTTTAAATATAATATTTTATTGAGAAAAAAATACATGTTGCCTCCATTAAGGGCATTGAGTATTTACGAAGAATGAAACACAAGCATACCATATATACAATAAAAGAAAAACACAAAATAAAATAAAATAAAACTTGGAATAACAGAATAAATCAAACATGATACATTAAATAAAAAAAAAAAATAAATAAATAAAAACACATTCATACTTATTTACAATATTTACAGCCGAGGGAGCTCCGTGTAGGGCTTTTCCCCCCACGTGTGGTGGATAAGGCAAGACTCCATGAGATCCCAACGCTTCTCTGTCAGCCGCATCACTAGGATGGGAATCCAGTAGAGACTAAGAGAGGGCACTAAAGCCACATACGCTCATGACTTGAGTAGAGAAGTTGGCCATCGCCAGGACTGCAATGACGTCTTTACAAAAGATCTCGAGGCCACTGCCGCTTCAACTTTCGAGGAGGATTGTAGGGATGACTGGAACTGGATAAGGATTAGGATGATGGATTAGGTTCTGATAAAAATTTAAAAATCGAGATGGAATAACGTCAAGGACATAAGGGATGTTAAGGTCATGATGTAAGGTTTTGTTCGTAACCTAATAAGGAGCATTGACTATTATACGGAGGACTTAAGAGGTTAGATTTTCTGTTAAGTAGTCTGTATAACTGGCCAAGTCGTCGGTTAAGCACTTGTCTTTTAAGTCTGGTATTTGGGTTCCATGTTAGTCTTGGTTAAGGAAAGTAGATACAATATAGAAATAAAACACTTATCGTTCTTTTTTGCTTTTGTTTTTTTAATTGTATATCTTGTTCTATAAATCAATAGTAACTTACCATAATCAGACATTTAAATTGTTTACTTTTCTAATTTAAATTATTTTTACTTTTATGACTTCTATGCGGAAGCTCAGTAATACAGGGGAGTACAGTTTTTGTCGTTTGGTGTAGTTTATGAGGCCCTAGATCTCTACAAAATTTCCTCTGAATAGGTGGAAGCATATTGAAGTTATCATACTTTTTGTGATTTTCAAAAAAAAATTGTAAAAATTGGTCAGGTCAAATTTGTAGATTTTTTTTTATTTTATTATGAAATTATAATTTATAATGAAAATTCGTGTTCAAGGGTCTTTTCAGCTGCGGAATACAAATCTCAACTCTATTTCTATTTAAACAAATATTTCAACACACTTTACTCCTTCCGTCAATACAAATTGTTCAAACTATACATATTTCTAATAGATTTTTTTGTAGGTAATTTAGTAATCTTTCTAATTATCATGGGTACGATAAGAAAAAAAATACATATTGTGCTATTCGCAAATAAAGTTTCTTTTCCTTCATAACTTTCTTTTCCAGAAATTTCACACTATTTTTCCTGTAGTGTGCTGACTTATAATTTTCAATGTCCCAGGTCGATTCCAGCTTGATGGAAGATCAATTATTTATTCTGTTTCGTCAACTCTGAACACTCTGGGGCACACGTAGCCTCCATAATGTGGGTTAGCTTAATTAAATAATTGATTAAGGGAAAAAGTCTGGTGGTTGAGCGTGATCTCGGTCAAAGCACCTTCTTACTCAAACGCTGACCAAGTACTTCCTCACATAATACTGAACCCAAGAATATTCATAAGTTGGAGAGGTACAGGTTTTTGTTTTGTTTTTACGATTCCTTTATTTTTTATACATTCTATTCTTTCATATTTAGTATTTATTTTAGATGAGATAATATTACGTGAATGTTAATTCGTTATTTCATATTCTCTCCTGCCCTCCCTAATCGTAATCAACTCCTGAACAAACTTAACTCTTCACTGTATTTTGCCCAATGAATAAATGAACAATCGTTAGAGTGGTGACAATGGTTGATATATTGCGATCTTTGTACCAACCAATAATTGGAAAAGAACGAGGACCATGATAATCTGGCAGCTCTAAACATCCCGTCAACTTTCAAGCTCAACCTGATAGGATGATAGTAGTACGAAAGCAGCAAATGTCATCCACTTGTCTAGTTTGCTTGATGGAAGTTGCTGTGGCAATTGCTGTCATGGCAGCAACTGTCATCACCTTGGAAACGAGGCTTGAACCTGGTGTACGTTATTTAACTGGTAATCTCTGATCGACGTTATTTATCTTCTTCAGAAAAAATAAAAAATAATTTGTTTGAATGACATTCTATTTAAAAATTCAACTAATTCAAAAATAAATTAAATTATTTTTCATATTCCAATTATTGCCGACTTTATCGTTGACCTTAGAGACTTATTACTAACCTTATCAGATTCCCGCTGTAGATAAATTAGGAATAAGTTAACTCAGCGGAAGAGATTATGCCGCTAATTCAGATTCAGCTGATAATTACCTAATGGCTTCATTTCGAGGAATTAGTTTTTGGCTGTTTTTTTCCTGGTACAAAAGGTTAGTATGTGAGTAATTAATCAAGTAATTAAATTATTAAATATAATTGAATAAGCGGTATCCATTATAATTGACTAATAATAACAAATCCACACAAAATAAAAAAAAAAAACAGACTAACAAATATTAAATTAAAGATATTATTGGAAATTTTCAAAAGGAATTCATAAAGCTCTCAAATTTCGGTAAATAACGAACGAGTATAACCAGGACTGAAAAAAAACACGCACATAAAATAACGCAACATATTCAACATCTTGAAATATTGTCTCTTGTACAAGTCAATTTCTTGCGCTCGGTTGCCATTTCCAAACTACAACGGAAAGAATAAACAAAAAAACACTGCCATAACAGAAAAATTATACGATAGGAATCTGAAGTTAAACCTACTCTTTGAATTGTTTTGTTTCCTTCACAGCTTGTTAAATTAAGTTTTTAGTTCAATAAATTTTAATTTTTTTAATTTGGGTTAAGCAGATCTCCAGACAATCGGGGTTTTGGTTTCAGTGGGGCTCTACTATATGTAGTCATTATAATTTTAATAAACAAAGTAATGATGTATTTAACTAATAATTCCATAATTATAAATTTGGGTGTAATTTAATGGTGGATGTGACATAATGCTTTTATTCATGTTAACATATAATATTTTGTATTTATGGTTCCTTAGTTTTCTTATTTTATGATTGCATATTTATCCTATGTCCTTTGGAACTACAGGATAGTCCAGTTGAAGATTTAAGACAGATGAGGAAATGTAGGTGATCAGCAGTAAATTCCACTTATCAAGATTATATCGCATGTTCGGAGAAAGAACGGTATAGCTCAAAGATTTAAAAAAACTCTTACTTATAACTCTTATTACACCGTATGCAAGAAATGGTATAGTCCGTGGTACAGATCCCTTTTTATCAAATTACTAACATCCGCCTGAAACTCCTAAAATAACTTCATCTCATCGTAACCTACAACTGTTTTATTTACGAAAATTCTAGGGGCGTTTTCAATCTGGAGGGGGGCAAACTTTTTCTATTTAATTATGAACTACATACTCGTAAATATCCACTTGCTTTCCACTTGGATAGTATAAGATAATTTCATCAAAGAATCGATAAAAAAGGTAACCTATAAAAATATTGTGCCGTTTGTCCTATATGACCTTATTTTGGCATTTTGACAACGACACGCCAAACGGCTTAATATTTTTGAAGGCAAACTTTTTTCTCGATTTTGTGCTAACATTATCTTACGATTTTGGTGGAAAGCAAATGGGTATTTACGAGTTTTTGGTTGCTAGTTTAATATACAAAGTTTGCCCCTCTCCAGATTTAAAATGCCCCAATTCCGAGAATTTTCATAAATAAAATATCTGTAGGCTACGATGAGATGAAGTTATTTACGGAATTTCAGACTGATGTTAATAATTTGATAAAAATGGGTCTGCACCACTGACTAGTGAGGAAGGGAGTCATAAAAAACCCCAACTGTTATTATCATATTGTTGATTATTAATCTCTATTTTTTTTACAGATTTGTTTTCTAATGTTACAAACTATAAATGTATTTATATACACTCACTAACACACCTAGTTATAAAAGTTAATTATCGAGTTCTACTAGTATTCTTCAAACAGGAGGTATGTTATCTAGACCAAAACATACACACCTGAAACCTGTGGTTATTAGCGGATAAAATAAATGCTCAATATTGCTGATAAAGCATTTAAATACAAGTGATACAGACAGCAGCTGTATTGTATTGTTAATGACGTAACAGTGGCAGATGCCTTGAGATACCTGCTCCAACTGAAGGTCCAGGTAGCCACCTTCCTGAAGACAAGCTCATATCCCACTTACCGCCTTATTATCCAATCAAAAGTCTGCATTACGTCCCGGTTGGCCAATCCCGACAGTGCAATAATAATCTATTTCCTTTCAACCGTAGAAATAAAGACAGGTCGGATATTCAGAGCATGCCGATTTCATAAAATTTAATTATTATATTGCCTAGCGACGTATTGATCTGCCATCGACTTGATGGTATTGCATTACGTTCATCATTATTGCTGTTGTTCATCATTATCTGACCCTAAAATAAAATGACAACTAAATTTCTATAAAGTTTTTCTTTAATCTTCTATTATTTTTTTCTGTTGGCGTTACAGACCATGTAGATCTTTAAGAAGCCTCCTCCATCTCTGCCTGTGTTGGGACATTTCTTTCCAGTTACCTGCATGTTATTGCATCTGTGTTTATTCGATCTTTCCACAGCTTTGTGGTCTTTAGCCTATTATTGAGGCATTCATTGAGTTGAGGCTTCCTGATGGATTACTCCGAGCTACATGCTCTGTCCATCATAACCTCCTTGCCTTCATATCATGGGGTGTTGATTGACCAACTTCTGTAAGCAATTCTTTATTTATACTTTTTTCCCATAGGTTAGTACTCTGATCCCAGATCTGTCCGGTTATCGTGCGAAGAATTTTTCTCTTAAATCTTTAAAAAATCAATATTTTTTAACTATATATATATAGGTTCTTAACTTACCTAATTTATTCTTAGTACTTCTTATTTATTTATTTGTACTAATCATTTAATTAAGCTATTTGTTCTATTTATATACTATTATTTTTTCTTGGTGCACTATTATGTACTTATTAACATTATATTATTATTACTTTTCATCTTTTTTATCCTGTTTTATTTATATTCAAGTTTAGTTCTGGTTTAGGTTCTACTAATATTCTCTAAAATATCTGTTATATATTTCTGATATATTAATTTTTTTTCAATTTTTAGCCCTGATAATGTTGGCAAACTTATTGAAACATGTCTAATCTACAAATCCTATTTATTATCTTAATAATTTCGAAAAACAATCAACAAATTAACCATTTCAAAAAAGTTTTAAGAAATAAAAATGATTTATTGCATTGTATATTTAGATTTATTTATTTGGATTTTAATATTTACTCATAATTTGAAGGTACAAAAAAAAAAAAAAAATTCTGTAAGCAATTCTTTATCTGAACTTATCCTCCATATGTTAATACTCTGATCCCAGATCTGTCCGGTTATCGTGCAGAGAATTTTTCTGTCAAATCTTTCAATATTTTTTAAGCATTGCCCCTCATCCAGCTTCGTTTAAGTATCTTTAGCGTGTTTTCAGTCTCTTAACTTACCTAATTTATTCTTAGTACTTCTTATTTATTTATTTGGTAAAGCTATTTGTTCTATTTATATGCTATTATTTTTTCTCGGCGCACTATTATGTTCTTATTAACATTATATTATTATTACTTTCCTTCTTTTTTATCCTGGTTTATTTATATTCAAATTTAGTTCTGGTTTAGATTCTACTAATATTCTCTAAAAATTCTATGTTTTATATTTCTGATATATTAATTTTTTGAATTTCTAGCCCTGCTAATGTTGGAAAACTTAATGAAACATGTCTAGTCTGCAAATCCTGACTATTTATTATCCTAATAATTTTGAAAAACAATCAGCAAATGTAACCATTTCAAAAAATATATGAAATAAAAACGATTTATTTCATTGTATATTTGGATTTTAATCTTTACTCATAATTTGATAGTATAAAAAAAAAAAAAAAAAAAAAAAAAAAAAAAAAAAAAAAAAAATGTCAACCCGACATATCTGTCAAAAATCAGAATACCATGTAATTTTACCATGTTCTGATTTATAGCGCACCAAACTCCCCCTTTCCCAATTGCCATAATATTGAAAAAATACAATAACCCCTCACCTCCCCCCTCCCCCCCCGGTTACAACTGCTTCTACTCCCAACCGACCAAGAAATGTCTAAATTATCCCTCGCCAATGAATGCTGGGCCTCACAATGAACCCTGGGGTAACCCATTGTCGGATTCTGAATCGAAGGATTTATCCCAAAAAAGGGGTTCTCAACCCTTGTGGACGATTACAGTGTATTTACCAACCCCCAACCCCTCTTCCTCCTACTCGTGTGAAATTCGGTTTTATCCACCATTTCTAGCATTTTTTTTTCTTCTTGTTATTTCCGCACCCTTTTCCAATTCCGGATTCAAGAATTCTTCAGGAAATGTCAGTTGGAGTGATAATTGTTTCCTCAGATGTGAATGTTCCCCTTCCGAGGACTGTTCTCAAAGGGTTTTGTCGGATAAAACCGTTGGATTTTTCTGAGGGGTTTTATTAATGATATGCTTTGGAATCTCAAATACTTACTTTTTTACTAGGGAATCAATCGCGAACTGAATGAAAAATATATAACTGCCAGTTTCTTTGTTAATATTGTGCCTATAGTATGTTTTATTATTAAATTTACAACAAATGGAACCTGTAAATTAAACTATATTAATCGAAAATATAAACATAAAATACAAGAGAGCTTATAATGAAAAGAAGCACCTATATAGTAACAATATTGAAGTTGTTAACGAATATAAATACATAGGAATCATATTGAGAATTAATCATTCGTGAAAAAAAAAAAAAAAAAACTGGAAAAATCTTTAAGTTGCTATAAATATAGTTTGGAAACACTTTATGAAGGAAAATCGAATTTCTTATGACCAAAAAAAAAAAAAAAAAAAAAAATGTAAAATGCAGAACAATTTTACATTGTTATCTGATTTTCGTTGCTTTAAATTTTATTAGCTAATTACCAATAAACCAAATTTCACAATTTCGGTTAGCGAAGTCTTATTGTTGTATAAATAGACAAATACTACAAATACAAAATAGTTTGGTACATTTGTGTCCTTTCTTTCCCAACCGATATCTTTTTTTTTTTTTAAATGTTTTGCACTTTATTGTGGAGATAAAAACGTCAGATCTTGGATGTGTAATGCTCGGGTAAAGTTGGCTGGAAAAATGTTCATCATTTCATCCTCTTTGTAATGAGCTGTTATTCGAAATTATAGCTTAACGCGACTCCGTGTTAGGGAGGTGAAAAGGAAAAAATATTGTGATGTTAACAAGTCTAATGGAAGATATGGATTAAAATATTTCAGAAACTAAAGATCGGACCTGCACACTGTAAACGGCGGAAAAGTTCACCATTCCATTCTCTTTATAATGATATATTATTTATAATTTATATTTCATATTTTCCTCAAGGTAGTATCCTTGGTCCTATCCCTTACACAGTTTATACAGCTGAAATCCCAACCCATCCTGACACACCCATCACCACATATGCTGATGACACCTGTATCCTATCTGTTAATAATGATCCATCAACTGCATCCCAAACTCTCCAATCACATATCACAAACCTTGAAGAATGGTGTCAAAACTGGAGAATTAAAATAAACTCCAATGAATCCCAAAAAATTACCTTTATCCTCCGTCGTAAACCAATGACTTCCTGTCCTACAGTTTCCTTTAACAATACTCCACTTATCCCTGTTGAGCCAATCCGCTACTCAGGACTCCACCTGGACAAACGACTAACTTGGAATCCTCATACTAGACTGAAACGACAAGAAACCGCTCGACGTTTCCGATTACTTCAGCAATTACTAGACAAACGCTCTAAGCTTTCAATCAATTACAAACGATTCATATATTTGACAATAATAAGACCTATTTGGACTTACGGAATTGAGCTTTGGAGCTTCACTAAACCAGCGAATTCCTCTCGTATCGAATGCTTACTATCCAAAATCCTTATCATATCATTAATTAATTAATATTTCATATCATTAATCTCGCCTTGTCGTTTACACTATCATGAGGTCTAAAGCACACATCTTAGTTTTTTTGTTTAGTAACTATTGAGGAACCTCAGTGTTCGTCCAACAATTTTGGATGCAGTGCATATAAATAAAAAAGTAAATTATAGCACAAAACCGCTAATCTCCGTAAGTTCTTCACCGATTGCTTTGAAATTTCGATGCAACGTTACAAATAAATTCAAGAATTTTTCCATATATATTTCATTACCATCCGGCCTACGTTTTGAATAGACTATAGCGCCAAAACAACTGTAACGATTTTAATGAGACTTTTTTTTTTTCAACATACTTCTTCAAAAAGAGGTTGAAGCAAATGAAAGGATGAATACAAAATTTTATTTGTGAATAACACAAAATTGGCATGTTTACATGTTAGCACCAATATACAATACAAATGATTCCAAGATAGTGGCAATGATATATTTTTATTAGGAACATATAGAAAATAAATAAATAAAAATATCCTCACATATTGATTAAATAACTAATTAATGTAGTTAAATGTAGATATTTTCAGCTTTGCATGCCTTGATTGTTTGTATATATTTATATGTATATATAAATATCTCCTAACAGGGTCTTTGTATAGTATGACGTTTTCTTAGACTTCCGGTGTTTGTCCAGGATAATTGGAAGGCACCTCCAATTTTCTCCTGTTCGGACGGGACCTCCAACTCTCTGAAAGGAAGCGCGATTACAGGAAATGACACAGGAAGGATAGGCGTGCGCCGAAGGGGGGCGTAACAAATTTATTTATATCGAAAAAAAACAAAAAAAAAACAAAAGGCAGTTTTTTCGACGACAATATCGGCAGTGCCCGCGTGGCATATGCTACGTGGCGAAGAGGGGATGAGTTGCATCTCGATGAAAAAATGCTACCTGCTTTGGGGTGGCGCCAGAGAGACCGGCCCGTGCGCTAAACCATGGTAAAAACCGTGGTTTGTGGTTCATGGTTGCGCCTTCCCTCCCCCACGCCAATTATTAATAACCGCCTCTTCTAATTAACGCCAACATCTGAGCCTTTTGGGTACCGCCGTGAGTCTGCGCATTTGCCTAGTTCCCGCGCTTCAGGTACTTCGGGCTAGCTCCTATCCAGTACCTGTTTTGCTGGATTGAAAGATTTATCGTTAATAATAATAAGTCTTATGGAATTCATTGTTTTCGCAATCCTCCATTATAGGTTTCGGTTTACGTTATTTCTCTGCCAATACAAGGTTTCTCATTCCATAAGTAAAGAAAGATAATCAAAATGTTGATAGTAGATATGAAGATCTACAAACAATTTTATACAAATAATTGCCCGATTTCCAGCAGAAAAGTAAGAAATTTAAGATTTGTGTTGTTTTAAGCGAATCACGTTTTTTATTGAATAGGAAGCGATAACTTGAAAAACATTGGTTTAAAGTAATTAAACATTGCTCCATAGTAAACTATACAAAATTGACTTTAAACAGAAGTAGAGTTTGTCATTTTTAAAAATATTTAAAGAGCGCTTTTAATAAAAAAAATCATAAATTATTTACGTAAATTAATTTTTTTTAATTATCTTTCAACTGCCCTACGTTTACCCTAATTTTCGAAGTACTTCCTAGTTTAATATTCTTTAAGTCCATATTAGTTAAATTGATGTTTATTATGAAAAAAAATTGAGATTCACCTTAAGTTGTGTATAGAAATGATGTGATTTTCTATCCAGTCACCCAAAAGTATTATTGTTTTCTGCAAAAATGCCCACAATCAACTGTTGCAAAGTTTTTATTTCTTGTTTGTCATTGATATTGGATGTATTGTAACAAACATAATTGCCTAAAAACACACTTTATTTGTAAAAATAAAAAATTTAAAAATGATGATTTTTCAAATACTTTTCATGTAAGGTACTTTTCTCACAGATTTCAGTCCTAGGAATGGATACGACAAGAAACCGCTCGACGTTTCCGAATACTCCAACACTTGCTAGACAAACGCTCTAAGCTTCCAGTTAATTACAAAATACTCATATACATGACTACAATAAGATCTATTTGGACTTACGGAGTTGGGGCTCCACTAAGCCATCGAATTCCTCTCGTAACCAATCCTTACAATACTTCGGAAAAATCCTCAATGCTCCTTACTTTGTCACCAATAAAATAATCCATAACGACCTTAATGTTCCTTATGTTTCCGATTTGGCCCAATCCGCATACCTATCCTTCCATAATAAACTTCAGAACCATCCGAATCCTCTCGTCTCTAACCTTGCTTCCTCTTCTATCCCTGACAATAATTCGAGGGGTCCGAAAAGATGCCCTCGAGATCTTTTATTGTAAATACATTTTTTTTTAGAGTGCTACCAGTGGGTAGTTTCTCATTAAGTGATTTCATGTTATTATTTTCTGTTATCGACTTTACTAAATGTTTCTATTTATTAATACAGTTGTAAATATCATAAATAAAAAAAGGAATAGATACGACAAACTTAATGTTTCTAGCCCTAATATTTACATTTCCACGAAAATATTTCAAGCAAATTTTTTTATTTCCCCCTCTATTTCCGGGACACCTTGTATATTCTTACCCGAGCTCGCAGTTTCATATGGTAAATAACTGTTGGATATACGTTTAAAAAATCTTTATCTTAATTTTTTTCTGTTGTGTCGGAACTAGAATTTTTGTCTTGCAACTTCTCAATTAAAGATTTCACATTACTTTTAATTAGATTTTTTTTTTTTAATTTAAGTTCCATTGATTTATCCAAAAGTTCGAATTAAAAAAATACTTTTATTCTTAGCAGCTCAAATGCCACACCAGAATCAAGTAATTCGCTTAAGATAAATTATAATTGTAATATAATTATGAAATTGCACAGTATTTCGATGAGAATTGCAACGAAAATCGCTTGACAAACAAGCTACTGTAAATATTCTATGCAGTCTTGATTTATTAATCTTGTTAATATCAGACAACAGTTTGTTGTTTGATATGCCTCTTTATGCTGCCAACTATTCATAAAAAAATGAGAGTTTCGTCGTATTTTTACGCTATTGTTTCGTTAATCAGTTTTATTTTGTCGTCGAACACTTGGTTGATATGGATAAGAAGTTGTTGTTTAAATCTGGCGCTCAATCAACGCCTGGGAGCTGGATCTAAACGCACCATGGACTCATTTAAAAATTCCCACAACTCCTGGATTCCACAGTGAGCGGTAACGACTTGAGATGCCAAAGTCCTATTTCGCCACTAACTGGTCAGGCTAGATAGAGGTTTTTATTTAATTGCGCTAGCTCTTTTTCTAAGAACTATATCCTACTTATATATATATATATATATATATATATATATATATATATATATATATATATATATATATATATATAAATTTCTCCCTAAAAAAAAGATAACCAAGTTATAATTTTTTAAAATTACATTAATATAAGGTATATTCAAATATTTAAGATAAGATTCAAAATATATTAATAGAAGAAAAAAAATAAATTGTTAAAACTAATACAAGTTAAGGGAATGAAACAAATAAGTGGATAAATAAATAAAAAAAAAAAAAAAAAAATAGGAACAACTTTTATTTCCAAATATCAAAACAATTTATAATAATAATAAGTCATGGATTTTTTAAAATTAATTATTGGTAATTTGATAATTTTTAATAATAAATCGATTAATAAAAATCATAAGGATTGTTTATTCCAAATTCAAGAATTAAAGGTTTTAGTTTTCTTGGAAAAATATGATGTGCTTTATATATATATATATATATATATATATATATATATATATATATATATATATATATATATATATATATATATATATATTACATTATTTAATTATATAATAAGTGCTTAATTATATATATATATATATATATATATATATATATATATATATATATATATAATATATATATATATATATATATATATATATATATATATATATTACATCATATAATATATCAAAAGAACGTTCATAAATAACTGAATTGAATCTATATATAATAAAAAGTTAATCTATACTTTTTTAAAAATTAATATCACCTTAATATAAGATATATTCAAAATATTTATGATAAGATTAAAATATATTAATAGAAAAAAATAAAATTATTAAAACTAATACAAATTAAGGGAGTGATGCAGAAAGAGATAAGTGGATAAATAAAAAAAAAAATTTAAAAACAGATAAAAAAAGGAACTTTTATTTTCCAAATATATTGTGAAACAGGTCTGTAAGCTGAGGTACTAGAAAAATAAATTGTCAACGTTTCTTTATTTCACGCTTCATTAGGACCAAAAATATAAGATGTAAAGGCTATTTTAAATCAAATCAACTATTTTAAAACGATTTCGAACATATAGGTCATGGATTTTGGTAATTAAATAATGTTACTTTGATGATCTGTAATAATAAATCGATTAATAAAAATCAAAAAGGGTGTTTTCCCAATTCAAAAAAGAAAGATTTTAATTTTCTTGGTAAAAATATTTATTTATTATATTTATATATGAATTGGAAAGATTCAGTGATTGATTCAGTATCACTTTTGGCATAGCACTGTGATGTGATACATAAAAAATAAGAGATTGTTTGTTGTTTTTATCAACTTTTTTTCCATCTACAAGATTGTGTATATATCTTTTCTTCTTAATCTCCGTTTTTTTAATAGCTAAAAATACCATTGCGTATTGTATAACATATATAAATAATTTATTATCTTTTAATCAGTTTTTTTTGTCGCAATTGTTTTCTCATAAAATTAATTTAATGCCCTTTCCTAATTTTATTTATTTATCTATTTATTCTCATTTTATCTCTCTTACGCCGGGATACTGCAATATTGTGATCCCGTTGCTCATCTTCTGCCATTAATATACCTTTAATCTATGTATATATTGTGTATGTTTTAGCTGTTTGGGCTTTAAGATAACAAGTCAATACTTTTTATTTAAGTACTTTTGATATTTTTTCTTTTCTGGAGGTTTTGCTTTTTCTTTCTATACATGTAATTCTTTTTTTTCTTTTCTTTTTGTTATTTTTTTCTAGTACAATTATAAGTATAGTTGAGAAGATTTTACATTATTTTTTAGTTGTTTACATACTATTATTTAAGTTGTTGTATATATTGTTTGAATCTTTATTAAGTTTTTGGCCAGATATGTATTTATTCCTTTTGTAACTGTACATTATTGTTATTCTAATGGGACATCGTCCCAGGGTAAAGTTTATTTTCTATTCTATTCAATCCTATAATCAATCATATTGCACATTTTATATGAAACGTCTTGTCGATGCGATGGATAGTTTTCCTGATATAAGCGAAAACCCAAAAAAGTTACATTCTAGGTTCCCCTCCCCCAAATTTGGCTCATCACCAGTGGGGAGTTTTAGTATGTTCACCTCCTTACTGGTCCAAACAATGTCCCAAAGTCAAAAATTGAGTCCCCGCAATTTTTCCGTCTATAATCATTCATTGACTGGACTAATAGTTTTTTAAGACTTTGCAATTTAATAATCGTATAATTTTTTGTAAGCTTCCGTTCTATATTTTTTATAGAAATATGTGTACATACATAATTGTAAGGAGAAATCTTTTTTATTTTCCTCATTCTGAATGAATGACTCGACCGGAGTTTTCACTTAGCAGATTTGAATAATGTATTATAAGTGCCTTTAATAGGGAGCTACCAATTCCTCTGACGGCTAGAACCATTATTTGTTTGCCTAAGAAGATATGCAAATACTGA